ACTGGAGGGGTTGTGGGAGGGGAGATGGGCTAAATGGGTAAGGGGCACTAAGGAATCTACTCCTGGAATCATTGTTGCACTATATGCTAACTAATTTGGATGTAAATTTAAAAAATAAAAAATAAAATAAAATAAAATAAAATAAAATAAAATAAAATAAAATAAATAAATAAATAAATAAATAAATAAAGGAATTCTCCAGCTGTGCTCTCATTTCTTGGGACTCATCAATCAACGATTCTGTTCCTTTTTTCCCATACACCAAATTCTCGAAATGTCTAAATGTTTGCTATGTGCCTTAAGAAGCTACTTGCAAAAGGCTAAATAACCAAATAAGGATCTTAGGTAGCTAGGTAGGTGGGTTAATAAAAGGATATCAAAAAGATATTCACCAAAACTTAACAGTGGTTATAACTGACTGATGGATTTCTGGTGATTTTTTACCTTTTTCTTTATGTTTTTCATCTTACTTCATGATTAACTTTTATCTTTATAAAGAAAAACACCCAATATTTTTAGTTTGGAAACAAAGCTTTCCTATTCCAAATATTCACATCTCCATTACTTATTAAATAAACTGGCTTTTCTTAGCTTATCTCCTTGTATGAAGGTCAATTACAGAGTTCAGGAAAATGTTAGGAGGCTGAAAAGAAAGTACAGTGACTTGTGAACAACACTGCCAGCAATACTAAATGTCAGGGTTGGACAAGATCTTAAAAATACTTTGGTCCAACAAGCCAAGCAATGTTTAAATTCTCTTTATAATATTCCCTGATAATTAATAATCTAGTGTTTGACTCTCATGTTATAAACTTATTACATTCCAAAGCAACCTATTCAATTTTTGGATAGGTCCAATAACAGGGTCCATGCTTGCACTAATCCACTGCTTCTGTATAGTTTTCACCAACGTGTTCAGAAAAACTGTATTTAACCACTAGTAACGTTCTCCTGGGCTCCTTCAATTATTCCTTATTTTACATAGTTTGTGCCCCTTCCACCAGTCTCATCACTGTCCTGTAAAAGCACTTCAGTGATCTATATACCTTTTACAGTAGTGTCCCAGGACACCCATTATTTCCAGTATGGCCTCACTGAAGCAGTGTTGGAATGCTATCTTCCTCATTCTCAATATCACCCTAGTTTTCTACTGACTACATCACACAGGTGACTAATATGAAATGTTACTTGGTAAAAGTCTTTTTTAACCTGCTTTTCTACCAAAGATAATGTGATTCAACTAAACTTAGTTACTTTTCAAAATCCAAATCCTGAACTTCAGATTTTTCTGTCCTGGAAAAGTTAAACCTGACCCACTTCTCTGGCCTGCTGTATCCATTCATTCAATATTTTTGAAAGCCTACTATTGGCCAGGCACTATTCTAATGTACTAAATAACCATTAAACAAAACAGACAAAAATCACTGCCTTATGCTACAGACATTTCTGTCATCTTTTTTGATCCTGACTTAATAAGCTAACACTTTCACTATCCATCTCTCTCAGTTTTCATGACATCCATAAAATATAACTAAACTCCTTGCATCTCTATCCAAATCACAGATTAAAAAGAACAAACAAGGGCTCCTGGGTGGCTCAGTTGGTTAAGCGTCCAACTTCAGCTCAGGTCATGATCTCAGGGTTCATGAGTTAGAGTCTGCATTGGGTTCTGCACTGATGAAAATGGATGCAGAAATTCTCAACAAAATACTAGCAAATTGAATCCAATGGTACATAGTTATTCTTGGACTAAAAGCATCCAATCAATGAATAGGATATACCATATTTGCAATCAATGAACATGATATACCATTATTAATAAAAGAAAGGATAAGAACCATATGATCCTCTCAGTAGATGACAGAAAAAGCATTTCACAACATACAGCATCCATTCTTGATAAAAACCCTCAATAGGGGCACCTGGGTGGCTCAGGTCATGATCCCAGGGTTGTGGGATCAAGCCCCGTGTTGGGTTTTATGCTGAGCATGGAGCCTGCTTAAGATTCTCTCCCTCCCTCTGCCTCTCTCCCCTACTCGAGTTCTCTCTCTAAAAAAACAAACAAGAAAACCCTTAAGAGGGGTGCCTGGGTGGCTCAGTCAGCTAAGCATCTGACCGGCTCAGGTCATGATCTCCGAGTTCATGAGTTCAAGCCCTGCATCAGGCTCTCTGCTGTCAGCACAGAGCCCACTTTGGATCCTCTGTCCCCCATTCCCTCTGCCCCTCCCCAACTTGCACTCGCTCTTTGTCTCTCGTTCTCAAAAATAAACACTTAAAAAAAAACACAAAACCTCAGTGAAGTAGGGATAGAGGGAACATACCTCAACATCATAAAAACCATACATGAAAGACCCACAGCCAATATAATCCTCAGTGGGGAAAAACTGAGAGCTTTCTTCCTAAGATCAGGAACAAGACAAGGATGTCTACTATCACCATTGTTATTTAACATAATACAAGAAATCCTAGCTTCAGCAATCAGACAACAAAAAGAAATAATAGGCATCCAAATCAGCAAGGAAGAAGTCAAACTTTCACTATTTGCAGATGACATGATATTCTATGTAGAAACCCGAATGATGCCACTGAAAAATTGTTAGAACTGACACATGGATTCAGTAAAGTTGCAGGATACAAAATCAACATACAGAAATCTAATGCATTTCTATACACCAATAAAGAAGCAACAGAAAGAGGAATCAAGAAATCAATCCCATTTACAATTGCACCAAAACCCATAAGAATACACCTAACCAAAGAGGTAAAAGATCTGTACACTGAAAACTACAGAACACATATGAAATAAACTGAAGATGACACAAAGAAACAGAAAAACATTACATGCTCATGGATTGGAAGAACAAATATTCTTTGCAGAGCTACAGCAAACAATCCTAAAACCACAAACAACCCCAAATAGCCAAAGCAATGTTGAAAAAGAAAAGCAAAGCTGGAGACATCACAATTCTGGACTTCAAGTTATATTACAAAGCTGTAATCATTAAGACTGGATGGTACTGGCACAAAAACAGACACACAGATCAATGGAACAGAACAGAAAACCCAGAAATAGACCCACAACTATATGGTCAACTAATCTTCAACAAAGCAGAAAAGAACATCCAGTGAAAAAAGATGGTCTCTTCAACAAATGATACTGGGAAAACGGGACAGCAACCTGTAGAAGAATGAACCTGGACTACTTTCTTACATCATATACAAAAATAAGTTCAAAATGGATCAAAGACCTAAATGTGAGACAGGAAACCATCAAAATCCTAGAGGAGAACATAGGCAACAACCTCTTTGATTTCAGTCATAACAACCTCTTATGAGACACATCACCAGAGGCAAAGGAAACAAAAGCAAACATGAATTACTGAGACTTCATCAAGATAAACAGTTTCTGCACAGAAAATAAATTGTTTCTGCACAGAAAAAAAATCAACAAAACTAAAAGACAACCGTTGGAATGGGAGAAGATATTTCCAAATGACATATCTGATAAAGGGTTACTAATAACATCCAAAATCTATAAAGAACTTTTCAAACTTGGGCCTCAGTCAGTTGAGCATCTATCTGACTCTTGATTTTGGCTCAGGTCATGATCTCATGGTTTGTGAGATCAAGCCCTACTGTAAGTGCAGGGCCTGCTTGGGATTCTCTCCCTCTCTCTCTCTCTCTCTCTCTCTCTGCCCTTCCCCTGATCACTCAAGCTCTCTCTCAAAATAAATACATAAACATTAAAAAAAAAGAGCTTACCAAACTCAACACTCAAAAATCAAATAATCCAGCTAAGAAATAGGCAGAAGACATGAACAGACATTTCTCCAAAGAAGACATACAGATGGCTAACAAACATGAAACGATACTCAACATCACTCATCATCAGGGAAATAGAAATCAGAGCTGCAATGAGATATCACTTCACACCTGTCAGAATGGCTAAAATGAACAACACAGGAAATAACAGATGTTGGCGAGGATGCAGAGAAAGAGAAACCTTCTTACACTGTGGGTGGGAATGTAAACTAGTACAGCCACTCTAGAAAACAGTATGGCGGTTCCTCAAAAAGTTCAAAAAAGAACTACCCTATGATCCAGCAACTGCACTACTAGGTATTTACCCTAAGAATACAAAAACACTGATTCGAAGGGACACATGCACCCTGATGTTTATAGCAGCATCTTCAACAATAGCCAAGATATGGAAACAGCCCAAGTGTTCATCAACAGATGAATGAATAAAGTTGTGGTATACATACACACTGGAATATTACTCGGCCATAAAAAAGAATGAAATCTTGCCATCTTCAATGACATGAATGGAACTAGAATGTATTATGCTAAGCAAAATAAGTCAATCAGAGAAAGACAAATACCATATGATTTCACTCATATGTGGACTTTAAGAAATGAATCAGATAAACATAAGGAAAAAAAGAAGAGAGGCAAACCATAAAACAGACTCTTAACCATACAAAACAAACTGAGGATTGCTGGAGAGGAGGTTGGGCTGTGAGATGGGTTAAATGGGTGATGGGTATTAAGGAAGGCACTTGTTATGATAAGCACTGGGGGTTATATGTAAGTGATGAATCACTAAATTTTACTCCTGAAACTAATATTATACTATGTTAACTAACTGGAATTTAAATAAAAACTTGAAAAAAAAATTAACTAACTAATTAACTAACTAGAACAAACAGGACAAGGCTATGGTCCAGGGTATTCCAACATAAACTTTCCTTTATTAATTCACTGAAGAGTTAAGACTATTCATACAGTTATTCATTTAGTGAGCTAACCCTGCATCTAGATTAGATTTCTCTATCTCATCTACAACTATATCAGGAAGGGCTTGTAAAATATACTGAGTGTCTCAAATTTCCTACACTTTTCAGATTTTTTGCCGTAAATTTTCAATAATGCAAAAGCTTCAACTCTGCCTTGTATAGATTAAAATAATTTAGGCAACAGTGACAAAATGCTATACCTACCCCTTTCATCCAATAGGAGATTTTCTGGCTTAATATCCCTGTGAGTTATCCCAATACCATGTAGATAAACCTAAAAGAGAAACAGAGAGAGGCATACTTTGGTAACTTACTTCATTCATATTAATTTTATGTAAAAGGAAAAGAAACAACTGTACTTACCACCCCTGCCATGAGTTGATGGAAGAACCTTTGAGCATCTTGTTCAGGCATGCCTATGTCTGGCTCTATAAGAATTAATAATGAAAGTTAGCCTGCCATGTAAACATAATCAGGCAGCAACCACAGAGTCTCCTAAATCAAAGCTTAGACATTTGTGATTGTATACTGGCAAACAGAATCTTACGCTAGCAACTAAGACTCTAGTGTCCGTTAATTCACACAGTACTTAATTAACTCACATTCCCCATCTGTTATGTGGCAAAGATAAAATAACATCACAGGAAAACTACAGAGAGAAACTATTATCCAGATCAAGAATGCAAGCCATACCTTGAAAGCCTCTGATTATCTCACACTAATCATGATTTATTTGGTATCTTTCCAATTCTCCCCTAATTTCTTCTAAATGCTCTGACATTGTTTTCCTCATCGCTAAAATGTAATTGCCAAAGTATAAGCCTGGGCAAACATAAACTAATATCACCAAATATTGAACAACAAAATGAAACTTCATCTAATCCCTCGTACTACAAAGCTATGAATGCCTGCAAAGTTCCTTTAGGAAATACAGTTTTATTAAAAAATGTTCTATTGTCAGTTTTCTTTTTATATTTTGATCTCTGTCTTTCCCTCTTGATTTCTTTTACACTGAACTCTCTCCTGAGATACATACTGGAGATTCTAAATAATCAGTTTTTAACTGTGAAAACAATAGCTGTAGACAATAAATTTAGATCCACATAATATATTTTTACGTACTTCTCAGTGTTCTGAAACATCAAGCCTTTGAATCTACATAGAATGCTGAAAGTAGCAAGTACAGAATTTACTAAATATAGGTAAAGCAATTCTAAAAAGTTCTCAAGTTATTTCTCTTAAACAAAAAAGAACAAATATAACAACATGCTATTATTTTGGCTCTGTAAATGCATGCAATGATTTCATGTAACTGGAATGCCTATAAAGAAAAATCACTGTATAGGTAAAACAATACTTCACCATGAGATTAGTTTATCATTCTTAAACTCTACAAAACAGCAACCCTAACCAAAATCACATGCACAATTTGGGAAAAAGGTTCTCCTTGATGAATCTATATATACTTTAATGTATTAACATAACTTGCAAAAACAAGAAAACTTACTGTAATTTCCTTGTTGCATAAGCAGTTCTGAGTGGACAATGACCAAACAGCAGATCCAAGATTAAAAAACAAATTTAGAAACTTAATTAGTAGAATAGATATCTTAAATCTTATTTCCATACCTATTCTGTCAAAAAGTTCTCCTCCACTACAGTACTCCAGAAATAGATACTGGATATTGCCTTCTCTCCTGTGGCCATAGAATTTCACTACATTCTCATGATTTAACATTTTATTGATACAGATCTCTTTCTTAATATTTTCTGGACAGTCTATGGCACGTTTCATGTCTACAATCTTGACTGCAACTGCTTCTTCAGTTCTTCTATTCACAGCAAGTTGAACTCTAAAAAGGAAAACAAAGACATGTGAATTCTATTTAAGACTTCAAAAGATTAAATATTGACTTATCCAACAATTTTACCTTCGTTACTTTCTCCACCCGGTAAAAGCCAAGAAAATGGTTTCTGCCATGTTCTCAACAGAGAGTACTCCTTTCTGAAATGTGATGTATGATGGCTAATGCTCTACAGAAGTCATTATGTTGTGTATCCAAAGGTTATTTAATAAATGCTTGATAAAGTAAACTAAAACGGAGTAACAGTAATTCTAGGCCACATCACATATACACATGCTCTATTTATTTGATTTTAATAACGTTACCTAATATTTATTAACCTCATGCTATATATGCCTGTGCTAACTGTTCTAAGCACCTATGGGGTAGGTACTATTATTGTCATGGTAGACCTGAGGAAACAGAGATACATTAAGGAGCTTGCCTAAGAACACAAAACAATGTGTTAGTATGTAACAGAGTGAAAATCTGAAACCAGGTAGTCTGACTCCAGAGTGTTCATTTGCTCATTTAACCACTATGCTTAAAACCGAGCAAGGAATATGTGGGAGGAGAACCTGACTTCACAGGTCTCTTCCACTTCTTTACAGAAAAAAAAATTTTAAAAAAGGAAGAAAAAAATTGATCCTTACAAAATTTCACGTGGCTTTAGTTCCCAAAGGTCTTAGATTTCAAATGCAAAGATCTGTTCTCTGAGATGCCACTGTATTATAATAAACAACTCCTGGTGTGCCTAGGTGGGTCAGTTGGTTGAGCATCTGACTTGATTTCCACTCAGGTCATGATCCCAGGGTCGTGAGATCGAGCCTCAAGTTTGGGTCCACACTGGGCATGGAGCCTGTGTAAGATTCTCTCTCTCTCTCTCTCTCTCTCTCTCTCTCTCTCTGTCTCGCCGCGGGGGGGGGGGGGGCTCAACCATGCTCGCTCCCTAAATATATAAATGAAAATAAAATAGAATACACAACTCCAAAACAACAAATCTGTACTCAAACAAGACAACAGAAAACGAAAGCAAGCGTGAAGGCAAGGTAAAAGGACTCAAACTCACTCTCCATAGGCACCTTCTCCCAGGGTTTGCACCAAGTCCCAGTCTTCCACAAAGGGCACTGCCATGACTCCAGGATGGATCACGGCTGTAAAAGGCAGGAACCCGGAAAAGATGGGGCTGAGGATAAGCTTCAACCATCTGCCACGATCCCTCAACGTAACTAACAGTTTGGTTTCCCCCTCCGCCTCACCCGTATTTTACCCAAGGCTTTCAAGCACCAGCAAGTATACTAAATTCTGGCATGTTGTGGTGTAATTCACACTCCCCACTCCCACGCGAACCGAAGCTACAACCGCCGCCCTCAGGCCTCCGAGGAAATGCAGCGGCTGTGCTGAGAGGCTGGGGGCACAAATGCTTTGGGGGGGGGGGGGGTGGTGACTGGGGAAGGGAAGGGGTGAGACAGGTGAAGGGCTGCGGGCTAGAGGAGGACAGGGTTTCCCGACGACGCCTGCCGCCCCTCCTCCCCACTTGCTCAGCTCCAATTCCCACCCCCACGCCATCCAGAAGGCCGGGAGGAGCCTGGGGCGGGGCCAAACTGCCCCAAGAAGCGGAAGGAAGGGCTAGCTGGCCCTCGAGACGGCTGGCGCCCAAACCTTTGGGGTCCCCATCAGGCAGAGAGGTAGTCTCTCCAATCCCTCTACAACAGGGTCCCCCTGGTCCCAAACTCCTCAAGTCTCAGAAACCGCCCCTCCGCGGGAATCTCTGATCCACTTCGCTTGTCACCCATAACTTTCTCTCGCCATGCCCCTCTCAACGAATGTAGACCCCGAAGTCCTTTTCCAGACTCCTTTCCAACCCTACCGGCTGCCTCTCCTCACCAGGCCGTCCTTTGCCCGCCACCACAGGAATCCAAATGCGGCGCCTTTCCCGCCAAAACTTTCCCGGCGTCACGCTGTCGCAAACGCGCGCACCCTTGCCGTAAAGCAGGAGAGCGCGCGTCTCCTACTCAGGCGGCTGTGAAGAGTGGCCTCTTCGGGCGGCCGGTACGCAGAGGTTGGCCCCGAGGCGTGAGCTGGCCAGGCCCGGGTTACTTTAGAGTCGAGAGGAGACCCAGGCTGGAGAGGCTTAAGAACAGCCGAGTGCATCAACGCGAAGAATCTCCCGGCCCCAGTGCATGCAGGTGTCCGGTGCGTGGCCCGCAGTCGGGCCGTCCTCGCTCTCCTGGGCGGAGCCGAAGTCCCCTCGGAGACCTGCACACACGCTGGGAGTGCGGGTCCTCGAGTACCCTCCCCGCTGCTCTGGGCCTGGCAGCATTGTGCGGATAGTATTCAGAAGTGTTGCCTCGGAAACTTTAAGAAGGGGTACAGATCAAACTAGAGCCGAGAAGCTAGAACAGCCGTTTCGAACAGATCCCGTGAAGAATGAAAGAACTTTGTGGCGGGAGCGAGAAGCACAGACTGGCCGCGCTGCGGGGTGGGGGGTGGAAAGGCATCCCTCGGAAGCAAGCGACACTTTGTACTGTGAGGGCGTGTCTGGATAACCAGTTTTGCCTTGTGTCTCCAGACTCCAAAACACGACTTTAGCCCAGCCTTTCTGAAGGAACAGCATCTCCATAGCCTTAATTCTTCTATCCTCTTTTTCATTCTGTGTAAAAAAGACAGCTGGGGGCAAAGGGACTGTTTTGCCTCGTTTTTTACGATGCTTTATTTTAAAAGCAGAGTAACCAGTTTAAATGGGAAAGAAAATTCTCAGGATAGGGACTTGCTTGAGAACAAAATAATGTGGAAAAACCGTAAGTGTTCCCCCTTAACAATAAACTAGACTGGGAACTCAAGGTGCAGGCAAGATAATCTCCATTAAATTCTCCAGTTCTTAAAACTGGGCTACACACCCCGAGTATAAAGCTCTTGATTGTGATACTGGTAATACAGTAAAATGAGTGTACAACATGTTACCCAAAAAAGCACACACACGTTTTAAAGCAAAGTCCGGGGACAGAAAAACAAGGCCAGAGCACTTCAAAGTGCTTGTTGGAGTTTTTAACCATGACAACAGTTTAGGCTTCATGGAATAAAGTAAGTTTTCCAGGTCATTTACTCCATTTTCACACTGTGCTATAAACAAAGAATATGAAGAAGGAAGAGGGGGACCTACACAGTTCCTGTGTCTGGATGGAATTAAGCTATCTTAGCCTGAAAAATGAATAAGGTATACAAGTTTCAGGCAGAATACCAGTTAAAGAATGTGAAAGAATCAGTGCACACAATAGCTTCTGTTCCCTTCTGAAACCTTACTACAATAGTAAATATTAAAACGATTTAATAATAGTAAAGTTTACTATTTTAAAATAGTAAATTTGTAACAAAAGGCAATAACCCACAAGAATGGAGTATGAAAAACAAAATTTTGGAAATTGGGAAGTTTTTAGATGAATGCTAAAGATGAATCTTAAAACCAGCAATAGGAAAGAAAAGCAACTTGATTTACATCACAGAACTCCCAAAAGGCTCAAGTTGGATTATTGACACCAGGTAACTGAACGTGGAGATGAAGGTGGGGCTAAACAGGCAGGCTGAAAGACTAAGAAGCCAACAGAATTGGATCCGTCCCTCCTTTATATACCCAAGGAACTGCTCCTCCCCAAAGCTGGTACAAAACTTGAGAGGGTAAACCCTATCCTAACTGGAGAGCATCAGGCACAGTTAAAAACTTGGGTACCTTACTGAAAACAAAGGTATTAAGTTTGTGTACTGAACCTCAAAGCCTTCTTGCCCCACCTTACTCCCAGAAATCTGCCAGCTAGGCATCCCTAAGACATACAGGCCTTATGACATACAGGGAATCTAACCTATCTAAAAGATCTAAAAATACCAGTATCAGGGATCTCCTATGTAACAATTATGTAACAATGTAATTCTGTTCCTGTGTATCAACGTGACAACTCAGCCAGATCACAGGAGAGCAGCTGACATTCAGTAAGCCCCACCCCATATAGACCTTCCAATCAGCTTTTTAGGGCCCCACTTCCTAAGAAGAGCAGACAACCAAGAATTTGAAAAGGCCTTTAATATGAAGGATATTAAAACAAAGGAATATTTTTTTAAAAAGCTCTTGGACATAAAAAAAAAAAAAATAGTAACAGCAGAAAAAAAAGGAAACTAAATAGAAAGGTTAGAAAAAAAAAAGTTTAGGAAATCTCCGAGAAAGAAAAATAAAGATGGGAAACCAAGAGTACATATAAGAGTATCAGGAGACTAGGGACACCTGGGTGGCTCAGCCAGTTAAGCATCCAACTTCCGCTGAGGTCACAATCTCACAGTTTGTGAGTCCAAGGCCCACTCTGGGCTCTCTGCTGTCAGCACGGGGCCCACTTCGGATCGTCTATCGTCATCTCTCTCTCTCTGACCCTCTCCCGCTCTCAAAAATAAACATTAAAAAATGCTAACTTGGATGTAAATTAAAAAAAAAAAAAAAAAAAAATATCAGAAGACTAACCCAGTAAGTCCAACATCCAAATCATTTTCAGAAAGAGAAAAGGAGTTGAGAGAATACACAAATAAGTAAATTTCTTAGAACTGAAGAACTTGACTTTCCATACTTAAAAGTTTAAAGTACCCAGCACAATGGATGACCCATTCCCAAGTGCATCATTGGGAAAATTCCAAAATATTACATAAAAAGAGAGGTTCCTAATAGGCCTGTGGTGGGAATTGGAGGGAATGGACACATACCAAAAAATTGAGAATCAGAATAGCATTGTATTTCTCAACAACATTTAGAAGACAGAAAACAATGAATGGCCTATGCCTTCAAAATAATTCTAAGGAGGGGCTCCTGGGTGGCTCAGTTGGCTGAGCGTCTGACTCCCGGTTTCAGCTCAGGTCATGATCTCACAGTTCGTAGGGTCCAGCCCCATGTCAGGCTCTGTGCTGATGGTGCAGAGCCTGCTTGGGATTCCCTTTCTCCCTCTCTCTCTGCCACTCCCCTTCTCGCTTGCTTGCTCTCTCTCAAAGAAATAAACTTAAAAAATTAAAAAAAATAATCATTCTAAGGAAAAGTTTTCCCCAACCTGGAACTCTGTACTTGCCCAATTGAGTGTGACAAGAAACATGCAAGATCTATCTCCCACACATTTTCTCAGGAAGGTAAATAGAGGTGATAATCAAGAAGGAAATAGGAGATTAACACAATATGGAGGACCTACCAACCCAACAGGTGAGTAGCAGGCCTAAGACGTAAACCAATCCAAACCACAACATACCAAAACAGAAGACATCCCCAAGAATGAATACCTAACAAGCTTGAACATATTGAAAGGAAGCTGGCACAAATGAAGGAGAGCTTGGGGAGAAATTAGTGTCAAGTACAAAATACAAATGAGAAAAGCTTTTTTCTCCAAAAAAGTTATGCGGAAGGAAAAAAAAAAAGCCGTAAAAGCATATATACCACATGGCCTAGTTGTGAAAAAACATAAAGTAAAAACTATTGAGCTATTCTAAATCATAACTAAAATATAGAACTTTAAAATGGTAAGAATCTGTGTGTCTATGGGCATAGCACCCTCAATTTCCACACCACCAAGTCAACAAATGATACCTAAAATTGAAAAACCAACACACAGCAAACTAAAGCAAGTTATTTAATGATAGGGAGGTAAGTAATGTGAGAATCAGCAGAGTTGAAAGTGGGGTCTCTGGGAGGTGGAAAACAGTGTTGTTGCTTTTTTTATAACTATTTGATTTTTCTTACACTAGGTGCACTACAACCATGAAAGGTGAAAAGTAAATCTTAAAAAAAGATAGCTTCACGTAGCCTAGAAGATAACAAAACTAAAATTGCAAGAGTAACAATGATAGTGATAAGTTAAAGGGTTATCTAGCCCATATATACTACCAAGGAAGATCACTAATGATCTTTACCTGGTATTGCTCATATCGATTTAAAAAAAAAAAAAAAAAGAAACTCAGAATAACCTCTTCCACTAGGGAGAAATTCTGTATATAAATCAAGTAACATATTTACATATAGTAAATTAGATCTTACACCAAATCTAAATCTCACCCACAGGTCAAGCACTTGGTATAGAAGTTGGTTGGAAGGCTAAGTTTCCTGGGTATACAAGAATACCTGAGCATACCCTTTAGGAGCACCATTTTGACTTATCTAAAAGCCATGTAATTGCTCCTGTTTCTTAAACAGGCAACACTCAACAGTTACCTTGTATTTTTGTTATGACTTAGGGTTTATATACATCACTGATATATGTCGTATGTTGTCAAATACACAGTGTCCTACTGTACTGAATATAAGGCTGTTTGTCCTGACATTAAATATTGATGGATCTTACTGTGCTTTTAGTTAAGTTTGTTTTTAAGTTTCTCTTCCCCTTTACTGCAGTCAGGCTAGCATTGTCTCTAGGTACTTGGTAATAGCAATTCTTCCCCCTTTCAATTTGTAGCTCATTTCACTAGGGCTTCAAAACCAGATCATTGAGTTTGTTTGCAGCATAGAATAACAACAA